ATGCTGACATCGTCACAAAACGGGTGGGGACCTGGAGGGCATGTATCCGCTTCGCAAGCCAAGGATGGGTGTGCAGTAAGCAAAGAAACCCCTGCCCACCCGCTCCTGTCCCTGTCCCTTACGGGCAAGCCTGTCCCTCACCCGTACACTCCTTTCTCACCCCTACTGCTCCTGCCACCTTCCCTCCAGTTCCCCTTTTCAGCCGAAGGAAGGCACAGAGCCACTCCTGCCTCCTCTGAGTCCCCCTCCACTCACCCTTGGTCTCTTGCAGCCTGGCACTGGCCCCTGCCCGAGCGTATGCCACCTCCCGGTTGCCAAACCCTGTGGATTGTCAGTCACGGGTGACTCAGATGCTGCTTGGAACTGAGTTTCTCCCTCTTTGTCTGGTGTCCAACTCCTGGTTGTGGCCACCTCTCCTGGGGTCCCTCCCTCTGTCCTATGTAATCGCACCCTTTTCCACATGACCAATGCTGTGGCCACGGCTCCCAGACCTGCCTTGCCAGGCCCCTTTCCTGCTGGACTCCCCGCTACCCCCCCACCAAGCTTCGCTTGATGCCAAGGACCCCTCCCCGTCTCCTTCCTCCACATGCACTTCCTCCTCCACTCCTCACACCTGGTTTCAGGTCCACCATCTTTTTTTGCGACCCCCTGACCTTCACACCGGCTCCCCTGCGGTTTCTTTAAGGCCGGGTTCCAGGGAAACATGCCCTGCCCCTCCCCCCACAGAGCCCTAACCCCCTCCAGGCACTGTGGGTCCCCGCCCTGTCCTGCCCTGACCACAGGGGCATGGAAGCGGCCTGTATCTTGCTCTGTCTCCTACTCATGAAGAGCTTCCCAGGGTCTGGGCTCCCCGGACACAGGCTGGACACGGGACCCAGGGGACAGCCACTGATGCGTTTACTTAACAGGCACCTTCTGAGTGGTGCCAGCCACTGCTCTAAGCAGTTGACGTGTCTGAACCCGTTTAGCTCTCCGTGCCGCCCCATGAGGTGGTACTATTATTATTCTCGTTTTACAGAAGAGGAAATAGAGGCACAGGGAGGTCCAGTGACCTTCCTGAGGTCACACAGTAGGCCAGCCGGGACTGAGGCTTTGTCAGGGGCATTCCAGGAGGCCTAATTCAGCCAGGCTTGGGGGAGCGTTGGGGGCGAGGGGAGCGGGGAAAGGGGAGCGAGCCCAGGTTCACCACAGAGCCCCGTTTAGCCGAGGGCTGTGGCTTAGGTGGCAGGGGGCAGGGGGGCGGTCATCAGATCCCAAGGGCACTCCTCACTTGCCAAAGAGCAGTGCGAGAGCAGCTTTTCCAGAGTGAAAGGCAGGGGTTTCCCCCTTGTTAAGGGAAAGTGAATCCTACTAGGTTCGATTTCTGGGTCTGCCGCTCGCTGGCTGGGTCAGCTTGGGGGCACATCTCTGACCTCTCTCAGCCTCTGGGACCATGGGGACGGTAATGATAGGGGTACGAACATAACGCTTGACAGATCATAAGCTCGCAACAAACATCCGTGTGCTCCGTTCCCCCCCATCATGACTGAGACTGGAATGAGTTCCTTGCTGGGCTGTTCTGCATCTCAGTTTCCCCAAATGGATGGTGATATTGGGATTATGGCTATGAAATCCAGACCCGACCTGGCCTTGGGTGCCCCCTTGTGGGCAATGTGGTGATTGATTGACCAGCTTCGGGCTCCTTCAAGAGTCCAGGCTGGAGGGGGAGCCTGGGAGAGGGGAAGCCTGAGGGGAGGTAGCAGACCTGCTCCTGCTGGCAGGGAGCCCCCAGCCTGGTGGGGGGGCAGACCAGGACTCAGGCCACGCTGAGACAGGCAGTGAGGGAACTCATCCCTGGTTTGGGATTAGACTGAAGGAAGGCGATTGGGTACCTCAAAAGTTGGCCACATCCCCATCCTGAAAATCAGTTCAGCTGCCTGTCTTATGCTCGGTCTAATGCATCAGCCAGGCTACCCTCCAGGGTCCCAGGAAGTGACGTGGCTCCTTCCAGCCTCAGTCTCCCCACCTGTAGCATGTCCGTTCCTTCTCACCTGGACTGACGGGCTGTGTTGCCTGCACCCAGACTCGTCGGCCTGCCCCTGAGCCGGTGGCTGGGTGTGCGGGATCGGGCCAGGAAGCCAGTGAAACCCAACGCCACGCTGGAGAAACACTTCCTGACGCAGAGATGGAAAACCAAGGAGGTGAGTGAGGGTCCCTGCGGCCTTCCTCCTCCCGTCTGCCTGCATGGCTGCCGTGAGGGTGGGGCCTGTGGCCAGGGGGTGGGGGGGGCAGAGAAAGCCCAGGCAGCCTCTGCCCCCGCCCCAGACTCCATCCCCAGACTCCATACCCAGACTCCATCCCCAGACTCCATCCCCCGACTCCATCCCC